AGAAACATCTGTCTACCTCTGACATCCACCAGCTCATCCATACAACAAACACACATCAACAACCAGGAAGCAGCTTCACCTCTGATCACACACACACTCAACTCTACTCACTCACCTGGAGGATCAACAATCAGGTAGATGATGCTGATGAGCTCCCATGAGTGAGTTTCTTCCATGAAGACACGACACTCGTATGTTTCAGCATCATTAATCGTCACATTCTTCAGAATCAAAGACACGTCTCCATCCTTCATCTGTCTGTCCTGCAGATCCACCCGGTTCTTAAAAGATGGATGCTGGTTATCTGGAAAAAAGTGACCATCCTGGTACAAAAGGACATATTTAACTCCCAGGTCATCTCGGCTGCTCCAGTGTAGAAATTTGATTTTGTTGTTTGGAGCTCGACATGTCAGAGTGACGTCCTGTCCAGACTTTGCTGGGATGATTTTCTGATCTGAAAGAGGAAACAACACAGAGCAGAGAGGTTAAAGTTCAAAGTACAATTATGATCAGAATGATTGACTTTAAATATTTTGTTTATTTTCTTTGACATTTGAGTTTTTAGTCATGTTGGCCTCATGCTAAACATGCAAAGTGTCAGAAACTACAAGATGTTAGCTTCATATGAACATAATGTGTGAGAGAAAGCAAGTGTCCACCCAGCCTCGTGTCTCCTTCACACACAGACAAACTGAATCCATACGAAGATAACTCACAAGTAATAAATATTATTCAAATATAAACCAGACTCATACTCCTTATTCCTCGTTAAATCTCACCTGCAGAAACAAACACGACAAACAGCAAAGTCCAGTACGGTGACGCAGTTACAGCAGACATTTCCGTGTTCTCGAGTTCTGCTGATCTGACTCTTAGTTTGTTTAAACGACTAAGTCTGAAACAGATTCGGGTACTCGCTTGAAATTTGATTTTAAAACCTGATATTAAATCAAAGGTTCAAATATAAATTAAATTCACTAACTACTATAAGAAATCTGTCTTTCAGTCGGTCGCGAAAACACTTGTGATTCAGCGTCTCTCTTAAGGAAGTCACGGTCGTTTAGTAGGCTGGACTGTGTGCGTCATAACTGAAGCGGTGACATATAAAGCAGGTCTCAGTGTTGTTTAACATGTTCAGTTGTTGAATGATCTCCACAGAACAACACAAACATAACCTGTCTCACCATTGGTCAGCATCCAAAAGGACTTGAAAATGACATCACTGTATAAAAATGTATATACTATGGAGGATGCAGCATTTAATGTTTCAGTCCATCGAATGGCTGTTATATTTAGGTAATCGGCACCATATATATGGGTTGGTCTGAAGGGGCTCTCTAGTAGATGGTTATAAAGTCCATTAATAAATACTGACTTGGGTTAACACACACAGAGAAAGACAATTATACAGGAACAGATCCAGTGTTTCAGATTAACTGGTGAGGGTGAAACAGAAGAGTGTTAGGAGCTGGTTTTGTTTTGGCATAAAATAAAACAACCTTTGTGAAAAATTCCAGAATCATTTTCGTTGCTTTGTTTCCTTTTTCTAATCATTACACAGCAGTGTGTGGTTGCAGTTCTCTTTTTAAAAGAGTGTAATATGGACTACATGTTGCATATCGGTTTTACATTGCGTAATGGACTAGGAAGCAATTAAACGCCACACTGGAAGCATGGGTGGGGTTGTTGAAGTGTGGCTGTGCGAGATCTCGCAAAAGTTCATCTTTATTTATTTTTTCTCCAATGTCCCTTGCGGGGCTCCTTAGTTCCCTGTATTTAAGCCTCTTTAGTCTTTAGTGACGTGCCCATATAGATATTACTGTTACTCTGACTGAGCACAGCCAGGATCCTAAATGCTGTTAAACAGCATGACACGCTAACACGATCTGCGAAAATGAGAATCTGCGGGTCCAACATCTGGAACGCGGAGAATGTTAATATAATCAATATAATAATAATGATATAATAAAGTTAAGGTAAAAACCAGTTAACCTGTAATTGAAGGAGCCTTGAATGCACTTCATACCTTCCTCCAGTCTAGCTTCTGCGGTCTGCACCGATTTTGTACTTAGTTCAACAAAATATCTCTCATATTATTTATAATGTATATTAATGAACTGAACCTGCTGAACGTCTTTATATTAAACTCTTATGATAACAAACGTATTTCTTATTGTCATACAGTCCCGCCTACCAAACGTCACTATACCGTGACTTCCTTAACAAACTGATCGGTTTGAAGTTTAGTGAGCGACTGAGAGACATATTCTCACAGTCAGTGACTTTCACCTGTAATCTATTTAAATGTTTAATTTAATCTCATGAGGTCAAGTTTGAAAACTCAGCTTTTGTTATTCGCTGAAAATAACCGACGCAGACATTTATAACCATGTAAGTGTTGGATCGCCTGTAAAGGTAACGCGGACATGTCTGCTGGGACCGCCTCGCTCTGCTTGACTTTGATGCTCGTGTTTGTCTGTGCAGGTGAGATTTAACTGTTAGAAACTAAAATGAGTTTATTTAATTTGTTTTGTTGTCAGGAGGCTGGGTGGACACTTAACATGGTAAATGGTCTGTATTTATATACCGCTTTTCTAGTCCCCAAGGACCCCAAAGCGCTTTACACATCCAGTCATCCAC